CATACACGAATCCTCAGTTGAAACGTGTAGAAGATGAAAATAGTTTCCGAACGTTCACTCATTAGCTACAATCATTTTTGATGAGAAATTATGTTTTTGAACCTCATACAAGTAGAAGGCTCATTTTTCATTTGCTCGAACATGGAGCCTAAATTGAAACGTGTACGAGCTTTCAAAGGTTTCCAAACTTTCGTTAATTCTGCATTGTCTTTTAATTCTCCATTTTTGGATTTTGCAGGTGTGGCTGTAAAAATTCTACTCCTGGAACCCGTGCAGATGAAATGGTTTTTCAGCCAGCCATTCGCTCCTGAAGCATCAGTTGAGAGATGCATAAGATTGCAGTAGTTTCCCAGCTTTCGTTCATTTTCTACCATTTTTTCAACTCCCAATTTTTATTGCTCGAATCTGATTCTGCGGGCTTGGTTTAAACAAACGATAATTTTCAAACTACTGCAGAAATTAAAAGCTGTTTCTTGAACTTCTGATGCAAGAGACCTGCTTAGCCTTCTTTGGGATTTCTGTTGACTTCAGGCACCGGCAGAGATAAAAGAAGCGCATAAATGAGTAAAGCTACAATTCAATCAAAACTGTCCATTTGAACCAACACCTATTATTGCTGTTATGTGATTACGCGAAAGTCGCGCAAATTTTTCCAAACAACTGTTAAGAACCCATGTAAGAACCAAACCCACTGCATATTATTTACAAATCGGGTGATGCTAATGGTCGCTTGTTTAATTAACAAATACTTTTCCATTCAAATATGTACTGGATTTAGATCAGAACTGATGTAACACTAAAAGCGTGTCCATAACATTTTTTCAACGGTTAGATCACAAAAGCTTCTAGGAAATTTTTGTGGAGAAAATCCAGTCAAAGTTATCACGTGCAATATAATTTTATAGGCAGATGTCCAGCAAAAGTGAAGCCTAATTGGCGAAGACCACAAGAAGTCACTCGTGAGTAAAGAGCCACTCGGGTATGCATAATAAATGAACAATTTAGTCGAAAGTTGATTTGCACTATTATGCGGCTGGTTGAAGTGGTGGACATGCAAGCCGCCTGCCTGTTTGCTATCAAGAGATCTCAGAACGCATTTGCCCTCTACCATAATTAAAATGGTTCAACCTTGATCTGAATGATTTGGTGTTTTGTACAATTAGTTACAGGCCGCAGGATTAGCAATTCAACTTATCCATTTCCTTCCTTCAATTATCACCTGTTCGATTACCCAATAATACTTGTAATTCAGCAGATATTTCAGCTGGATGGTTGAATCAAAAACAAAAATCCTCTTTGCGTAATAACGATTCCAATTAACAGAGCAGGATTTGGCCTAGTTTTGCTAAACAATATCCCGATAATCTCACGAGAAAATTCCATATCAATTATCAATCACTATTGTGTCCCGTCTTGGCACTATCACAGCATTGTTGAATGGAATATTTACTTTTCCTTCTAGGTTGGCGTTAACGGGCAAACTTCCGTTTGAAGAACTGTTGCAATCCGATCTTGAATTTTCCATGCTCAATGTTTCAACTGCAATTATCGGGTGATGAAATTAGGCAATGCCAATCATGTCGCATCTGACTAAACACCACACAATGCGTTGATGACTAGACATATCAATCAATTAGAAATGCTAATTGACTAGTTTTTTCTATGTTGTTTAATTTCTTCTATTCGATTAATTATCTTCGCAGTTTGACTTTGGTTTGCGTTATTAGCTTCGAGCTGTTAAAGCCACAATTAATTTTTCCACTAACTATAAAAATATAATTATTAGTGTGAACAGTTAATGCGTTTCGTTTTTAGCTCACTACCAGTTTCATCATGTTGATTTTCCATTGTCCGACCAAGCAACAGCAGATTGTGATGCCTTTGATCGGATTTTTTTCTCACACTATGCAAATATGATAATTCGTTGCGTTAATGCAGTTTGCGTAAAAAAATCCTTCAAAATCAGTCCCACCCTGATGGAAAAAACGCGATCATTTGCGAAATTCTTTCCATGACCCACCAAGTAGTTGGGCAAAAGGAAAATTGCCATCTGAACGAACGATTTATCAGGCTTAATACACAGCACTTGATAAGAATCTACATGTTTCAATTAATATTGAAAAATTCAACACGAAAATTACACATTATGTTCCATAGTAAATTGCTGCAGTCGAAACTGCTGTGCCATTTAAGAAAGATTTGCAAAAGATAATGCTATAACAGTGTCGACTGTATTATTATACGAGAGATTTAGTGGCACTCAAAATTTACAACAATAAATTGACTAAATAACTCTGTTTTATAACTAACAATAAGTCTGCAAGGGAGCGATTGTGTGAAAACGGTCATTTTCTGATCAATATTTACAACGCCCGCAAAAAAGGCTTTACGTGTAATATTGAGGGAATTTTGAAGACTTTTAGAGCCAAGTGTCTTCTGTAGGGTGTAGAAATTTCAACTCGCAACTTGTTACATATTAGAAGTCATTCAGTCAGATTTTTTATTGTATGGTCTGCAATTGCGTGGAAACGTAAAATGTTGCACCAATATCTATATTTTGAGTGTGGTTCTAAGGAAATTTTGAGGGTTTTTACAGTGAAATATCTTCTATAGCTTGCAGAAATTGCAAGTCGCAACTGGCCCTAGATTAGAAGTTGCGGTTGTGTTATTGGAGGGTCTGCACCTGTGAGAAAACACCACACAAAAAACCAATTTAGATGTAACTTGAATCAAAGTTATTAGGTTTATAGCTTGTGGTGTTTTCTACAGTTTACCGAAATTTCAAGTCGCAACATCTTCTCAGTTAGAAGTTACGATTTTTTATTGCTGACTCTGTAGTTGCATAATAACGTTCATTTTTACACCAAGATTTGCAAAGCACGCAAAAATCAATTTCTCGTTTAATTTGAATTAAAGTTTTAGAACGTTTATAGTGAAGTATTGTCTATGGTTAGTAGAAGTTTCAAGTCGCAACTTGTTCTAGATTAGAAGTTGTGATTTTTATTGGAAGGTCTGCAGTTGCGTGCAAACGTTCATTGTCGGACCAAAGTTTACCAAGCGTGCAAAAAACATCCAGTGTAATTTGAATTAAAGTTTATGGCTTTTTAGAGAAAATTGGTTTCTAGGGTCAGGCGAAAACCTTCATTATCGAACCAACATTTGCAAAACACGCAAAAACAGCTTCTAGTGTGATTTGAATGAAAGTTCGAAGACTTTTAGAATGATATATATATAAAGTATTATATGTAAAACTTCTAAAAATTTTAATTCGCAAGTTGCCCAAGATTGAAATTGTCAAGTCTTTATTGGTGGATCTGCAGTTTCGTGAATATGAAGCGTTCCAGAAATATCTTTGCAATTGATTGAAAAACTCCTGATTAATTGCCCTATTGTTAGAATAAAAACGAACATGAATAATAACGACGTTTCCCATAATTAATTTTTAAAAAATAATCAAATTAGTGATTTAAGCTTTCGATTGTGACTGTTTTTATGCAAACATTGTTACACAAGTACACATTAAATTTACTGGGAATTTTTTTTGGTCTCTACAACGAAGAGGCGCAGCAAAAAAATTAAAATGCTGAAAAGTTCCGAAAATGTTTTCTTTGGACATTAGTCAGTGAATTATCGCAGTTTATGAGCCAAATTATTGCAAAATTGAGTTTTTTGCATTTAAGTGCCACTCTAGCAGAGCAAATTTGTCAACATTAGAAACGCGAGCTAATTTATAAAAACAAGTGCAAAATTACAAAAACGAAATTGATTTGGCAAAGTCAATTTTTCATCACAATTCAAAACGCAGCTTAGTTTTCTACTCATTTTAAGTCCTCCCTCGTAGTAGAACTAATGATTTCGAAATCCTATCGAGCGGGAACGAGTGGATTCGCCTATATTCGTTCCTACACGCAAGAGTGAGATGCATCATGCCAATCACACTGCCTTTGCCTTTGCTTGCCGATATACGAGAGCTAATCGGAAAATAGTTTGGAAATATTGCAAAAATTAAGCAATGTCGAGCCGTTGAAAAAAATTAAATAGTTTCCTTGATTTATGTAAAAATCCCAAATGTTATATATTTGTTAATTAATTTCGGAGAAACCAACTAGATTTCACAATGTTATGCTAATCTTCCAAAGTTTATTGCTGGATATTAAATATATGTGCAATATTTTCAAATTCCTTTACAAGTATAATTAATACTATGACATTAAAATTATGTAAAGCGCTTAACGTAGGTAAGAAATTTCCATTGAGCTAAATGTGCAAATTCCACATCATATTCGATGTATGTTAATGATTCTCAGTTAAATTTGAAACGAAACTTTTGAAAGAAATCATCAATCGAATCGTGCCAATTTTTTCCGCAAATCCAAACCACAATTTTTCCACTGCACACTCAAAATTGAATTACTGCCTTTTACTTTTGCAGGCTTTTTTCCAAAACCGATAAATCCATTTGATTGTAATTGCAGTAAACGATTTTGCCATGTTAAAAACGATCATACTTTGATGAATTTTCGATACATTTCAACACTTCTTTCCTTTTTCTAGCTATTAATATGGGATGACAAAAACGACTTTGCGCAAGAACCTTTAAATTAATTGAGAAAATCCTTGTATCGAATCGACAATGCCACCTTTTTTCCATAAGCTCTGTTTTTCTATGCGAATTGCTTCAGTTTTAATAAACGTGAGTATCATGTAATGAAGAAAATCGCTTTATGGAATAATCGCCTGCAGTAATTCCGACATGCAATAACAACTAATAATTATTATACTGTCGATGTTCAATTATACACTATTATATCGGCTGTAGAGTGTGTTGTTACACGTCTCTTCGAATGGGTATTATTACATTTACAGCGTCATTATTTGCCAGTTTTTAGGGGGTTTCATATTTGAATTGTCGGGGAACTGGGGATTATGTTTTAAAAATCCTGTTAGTTTCGAATTTAAAACCAAAATTCTTCATTATATAAAAAAAAATATTTACTTACCCTCTAAGATATCTCGCAGCCAAAATAATCCACCAATTCCGTTCTAAATATTAAAAGAAAAAATAGAAATTGGACAAAAACACCGATCTTTGAGCGACACCCTTCTGCACCCAACAGTGGTAGGATTCTAATGACACTCAAAACGCGACACTGGAAACTCAACACCCGCTAACCCTATCTTAAATATCGTCTACAAGAACCAGTGAAAGTAAAGTTAAACGCTACAATCCAAGCTATATACACCTAATAATGTACGTGCCGGTATCTTTTGATAAGGTGAGGTCATTTGGGTTGCCCCCCGAACTAGAAGAGTGGAAAAAGTACATTTGTCTCTGTTAGGTTCTCGTTGATCGGCAAAAAGTTGGCATCAAGAAGGGATGGAAATCCCTAATGATCAACTTAATTGAAACGATTATTCGGCTAGTCGAACGTCACACTTTACGCCTTTTTAAAATATTCACTTAAATAGGCATTAAATTAAAATTAGTATATTTTAATTATTTTTCATTACTAAACGTCTATTAGATAATATACCGGAATTTAAAAAAAAACACTAAAATGTTCCCTTTCTGTGTGTAATTTAAAGAAACAAATAAAGACAGGCAAACTGATTGGTCAAACAGGTTGGCGTGGAAAAGAGTGGAAAAAAGGGCGCAGACCAACAATTTTTGCTACCAACTGTTTTTTCCTAATTCTACATTCAGGTGGGAACAAAAAACCCATTTGGGCTTCATTGCCAAAGCGCATAGTTTCTAATTTAAAAAATTAAAGCGCTGAAATGTTCGAAAAATTTACTGTTACATTTAACATTTGATTTTTCCAGACACTGAAACAGTGCAGTCAATGGTTTTTCTTTAAACAAAAATTATTTTTTAACTGTACGTTCATCTGGGAACAGAAACGCTGCTTTGCATTCTTTGGCTAAAATGCCCAGTTTCTGAGTAAAAAAACGAAAATCGTCGGATTGTCAGAGAAAATTAACGCAATATTTAACATTTGCTACTTTCTAGACAGCAAAACGGTGCATGTCAACGGTTTCGCTCTAAGCAGATATCATTTTCAAATTCTGCATTTAGTTGATAACAAATATTGAGTTTTTTTGCTAAAATGTACAGTTTCTGATTTAAAAACTTTAAAGTCCAGTCCTGGCAGTCCAGTCCTGGCAGTCCAGTGGCTTTTTCGCACACAGAAATTACCTTCTAATTCTGCTTTTAGTTGGGAATATATGGGAATATTCATTTGTGTCTTCGCAAAAAAGTTTCTGATTTAAAATTAAAAACCGTTGGATTACAACACTAAAGTAGGACAAGTTTTGCTGTTGAAACTATTGTAATATTTTGCCGTTTTAAGACCGTTATGCCTTAAATAATTGTACAACAAACGACGTTTGTTTGCTTTTTCCAAGTTTTTTAAGTGATTTGGAAGTTTTCTGTTCTCACTATTTCCTCACTCACTTGGGAGTACATTAATAACTAACGTTTTTTTACGTTTTAATGATAATTTTTGCTAAGAAAATTCTTGGAAAGATCAACTATTATCTCTTTGTATTGCAACCAACATTCAAAACCACTGAATTCACATTTTTCTCTCCACGATTTTAATCAAGAGCCCACTTTATTTTTGTATAGTTTGCGTTAATCTTTCTGTTTGACTTTTCCTTTCGTGTTTTTACTCATGTCTTCACTAATTTACTTTGCCATATTTGACAATACCAAAATGGGACTCCGAGGTTTAAAAAAAACTATTTTGGAAAATTACAATGAATGCTTTGAAGCAATTAATAAGATATTTTTTTTCAACTCACTCTTTAAGTTTACCCCTCGTAGCAGAACTGAGCATTTCAATCGCCGATCGTGCGGAGACGAGTCCGTTCGGCCATCTTCGCTCTTATGCTCAAGAGTGAGAGCCATATATCAACCTACGTTGTCTCTGTTGTTTATTTCTGACGTACGAGAGTTGATGGGAAAATACTTTCACAAAAGTGAAAAAATGACCAATTTTGAGAGGTTGAAAAACTTGAACTAAAGTTTATGAAAAAATGTTTAGTATATTTCGCTAAAGCTACCAAATTTTCAAGCACTGAATTTAAAATTCAGGTTTTTTCAGCAAATTATTGCTTGCCAGTTACGCAGCAGTTTATCGAAAATTGATTTTCAAATTTTTCAGGCTATGCCTGAAATGAAAAAACCTGCCTTTAATGGTTGCAATTATTTGCCTATTCATAAATCTTAATTAGTCAATGTGCCTATGTTGCTTAATGGAAATTTTATGAAACAATAAATCAATCATTTATAAAACCGTAAAAGATCAGTTGTATGCATTTGAATATTTTATACTTTGATCAACTGGGGCTTAATTAATCAACGTTTGATTATTCTTGTTTGTGAAGTTTTTCATTAGCTTGATTTTTGTTTCTCTAAAGCATTTTCGTTCCCTTGATTGACGCAAATCTAAACATGGGGATTTCAGTGGGCATCATCAAATGCCTTGAGAAACTCTGATGATAATTTAATTATAAGCCTGTTCTGGTTTCATAACTGATTACGCTTAAGTAACCGGTTAAGATAGGAAGTTTTGAACGCATCATTAATTTATTAAAATAATTTTGCATGCACACACCTGAAATGAATGGGGCTATTCATTAACGACGTGATGTTGAACTCTCCTTTCATTATTATTGTTATTCCTATTAATATTTATATTGCAGTTTGTGAACTTTGGCATTTTTTCCACATATGTTTCCCAATCCGGGCTAAAACTGCTTCTGTTTTCATTGCGATTCAGATCGAAGACTGGTTGAAAAGCAAAACTATGCAAAAATGCGATTCTGTTATTATTACATGTTTCAATTCAGCAAATTCCGGTTGAAATAATGCAGCGTTTAAGCGAACTAATTGGCTACCGGACGTGCATTTCAAACTGATTTTATTCGGCGAAAATATGCAAAAATTCGCTTTGATTAGAAAACAGCAATAATTGCGTGTATTATAAGTGCATCGGGCAGAAAATTCACTTAATAGTCACGAACTCTTAAAGCGCCTTTGTTGGGAAAGAGAGGGTTTTTTTCGAATGAAAATCATTTTTAGGCTGATCAGCAAAAAGTATTTTAACCATGACCGATCGAGTCACCTTCATCAATATCCAACCCAATAATTCAATCAGATTTGTCGCTTTGGGGTCAACATTTTAGTCAATCGATTCGAAACTTCATTCCATTGTTATCTATGCTACATGTCTGTGGAAAATTGTCATTAATTTAACATACCATAACGAAAACTATTTAATGGTTCTTTACACTGAAAACAATGCGGGACGCACAAAAAATCACTTTAAAATCAATCAGGCGAAACGAAGCTCTTCATAGGAAGAGCTTCAGTTGTTGTGCAGTTCAGTTGCAATGCAAAATGTAGAACTATTGTATGGCGGAGTAAGAAAATTCTTGAAAATTGTCTGATGAGGACTCAAAATAGAAACTTTTGCAGCTGCTAAAGCGAAACATGCCTGCTGACTGGGTTTCTGAGAAAATTGCTTTGAAACTCCAGCCTGCATAAACAAGCGCAAAGCAAAAACGAAATTCTAAAAAAATTCGCGAAAATTCTCTGAAGATGAGTCAGAACCGAAACTTTTGTGTCTTGCAGGACATATATTGTCCTGTGACATGGATACAAAGGTGATATTTCAGCTTTTCTAGATATTGAGGAAATTTAAATACCACGCGTAGGCCTGCAAAAGCAACTACAAAGCTTAAAAGCATATGCAAAAAACTTCCAAAAATCATCAAGATCAAGAATCAAATCAAAAGTTTTTCGATAAATAGAACGCACTTTTTCCTACGAAATTCATGTAAAACTGATTTCTTGCCTTTATGTGTTTCTGAAAAAATAAATGCGAAACTTGGGCCTGCATAAATAACCACTCAATTTTGCCGCAAATAATTTTTTTTTTTAATATCTTGACCATAATTTGAAAACGTAACTTTTTGCATATGCAGAACGCACTTTTCTCTCCAAACTGCACCTTAAACTGAATTTCCAGCTTCACTGGTTTCTAAGAAAATAAATGTAAAATTTAGGCCTGCATAAACAACCACAAATTTCTCACGTAAAATTTAAAAAATCTTGACAACAGCCTGATGATGTTTCAAAATCGAAACTCTTGCACTTATAGTCCCAAAAGATCCACATCAACGTCATTTTAAACTAAACTGGGTTCTGACTAAATCGCTGTCAATAAGCCTGCATAAGCAAGCAAACAAACATAACACAAAAAACAAACAAAATTCGAAAAAAATCTGGAAAAATTCCTGAATATGAGAAAAATTCGAAACTTTTTCCACTCGTAAGCCATACTTTTCCTTACAGGTTTGATATAAAAGTTATTTTCTGACATTGCATGTTTATGAACCAATAAAATGTGAGACTACAACCTGCTTAAATAACCGCGGAAGCCACATGCAACTTTGAAAAATTCGTGAACATTTCCTGATGATGAGTGAAATTCAAAACTTTTGCCACTTATAGAGCACACTCTTCCCTTTAAAACAGGTCAAGAAGAGAATTTCTCAGTGTGTTAGTTCCTGAAGGAATGAAGACCAAACTTCGGCCTGCACGCACAATATCGAAAACCAAACACAATTTTGCAAAATTATCGCTGCAAAATGCATCTAAAAGTTCATTGCACTTCATTAAATCCGGAATAAATAAATGCCAAACTCCGGACGGCAAAAACTGCGACAAAATCAGTCATTTTTAAATCACACAATTTGGTTCAAAATCAATAAATCGCGGATAAAAAATGAAACTTTATTAAGAACATACAATTTTAAGGGTTTACTGTACGACGTCCTTTGGACGTTTTTCCACCCAGGCCTTGATTCGGGGAATCGACAGGACATTTTGCTGCATTGCCCTCAAATTCGGGTAATTTTCTAGCAACTCAGGCTCGGATAGCATAAAACTGACAATTAAAGCCACAAAATACACGTCAGCCCAAGTTAACTAAAAAAACATTCTTATAAAAAATTCTGACTTTCAAACGCAATCACTCACTCTTCCGAGTGCCAAATAACCGTTGTTTTTTTGAGCCCATGAGTCCATTTGTCCGAATATCAACGGCTTGATTTCCTTTTCGAGCTTCTCCTTTAGAGCTTGTTTGGCCTCAGGGTTCGACTCAAAGCGATGCTTCATGAAATCTGCAACCCCATTTTGTTCAGGCAAAATGCGGAATATTGAAAGAAAACTTACGAAGGCGGAAATCCGTAATTGTGTCAACTACGGCGTCAATTTCGCAGTCTTCCAAGTCGTTTTTGCCTGCAAGTCCCACTAAACGTCCCACGTAGCGGGAAATAGCCACGCTTTGGTGCAGAACTTTGCCATCGACCTCCAAAAGAGGCATTTGTCGTAAAGGAATCGCTAAAACAATAAGCAACATTTAGAGCATAAAGCATTGAAGAAATGCAGTTCGATTTCGCATCAAATTAAAACCGCCCCTCGTAATATAACCGCCTTTTGCGAACAGGAACGATTGCATTCGGCTGTCCTCGTGCCTATGTGCAAAAGAGAGACGAAAAATTGATCCGATGGAAAATTACACTGTTCTTGTCAGTTTCGGCCGATTTACGAGAGATGATAGCAAAGTACTTACAATTTTTAAGGGCCGGCCAATCCGCCATTGAGACTCGGTTATCGATAAATTCGATTCCGCCATAATGGAATAGAAACCTAATCGATTCTCCCAGACCACCGAGGTCAAAGTATGTGAGTTTATACTTTGGAGTCATTTTAGTCTACTGAAATAAGCATTTAAAACAGTGCATTTTGTATCAGGACAGCAACCAAATGAACTTACCTTCAGTAACAAAAACAACGGATAAACTAATGCGAGATACTCGCTATCGAATCAACCAGAAACCTTGTGGACATCTATATATACGCTTGTGTAAATAATGATGGTCATGATGAGATGATAGTCAAAATCAAATGATGATCGATATACGATGCAACAACACTTCAATTGTTCAATATTGAATCGGATAATATATTTACCTGAAATGCATCCAGTTAATAAAACGGGATAGTTAAAAAAGCTTATTTGTTATTACATAAACCGCGTTTTAATCGAGAAAACATTAACAAAACCGCCAATTTCTTGCGACTTTTCAAATTAGCCACCAGTTTGTGATGGTGCCTGATTTTAAAGGAAAAATGATACGTTACACATAATATCCAGGAAATGGTCGCTCTAATTAAACCATTAAAACATGCTTGTTTTATTTGGTTAAGGATTGATATTGTAAGCGCAATGCTTATTCATTACTATGCTTCTTGTCCAGTTCCTTGAAATAATTAACCATTTTGTATTAGTCATGATTAGACGGAGGTTTTTTGAAGTGGGACTAGTACTTTCTGTGTATTTGTATTTCGGTGCAGTGATTTGATTAAAAGCTTCAGAATTTGTCGATTTTTTAGATTTATCATTTCGTCGTGTGCAAAAAAGTCGCAATTTTAATAGCGCGGGATTGTCTGTAGAGGGCTGAGAATTTGTATATGGGTAAACAAGTTCTTAGTGAGAAAGTGGGCAAAATCGCACTAATTTAGAACTTTCTGGCGGTTTCTATTTTTTTTCAAACTTCTATGGAAAAATTGCCTTTTAGTAGGGCGAGTTTATCTTCAAAACTTGTTAAGTTGCAAGAAACAGCTGATACAAAGATCAAAATTGGTATTTGGATAAACGAGTGCTTAATGAGATGGTGGACAAAATTGGAGTTATTTTCAATTTCACGATGATTCTGGAAAATTTATCAAAATTTCATCTACAAGTGGCGCTTCTAATGGTTTGCGATTGTGTGAAAAGTGGCATTTGGATAAACAAGTTCTTGGTGAGAAATTGTACAAAAAGGTTCTCGCTGAACTTCGAGAACTTTTCAAATTTCCTTCTAAAATACGCGCTTCCAATAGTTCGCGCTTGACTTAAAAATTCCAAGTTTTGGTGAGAAAGTCTACAACTGCACAATTAATTTTTCAAACTTTTTCAAAAAGACGCGTTTTCAATAATCTCGCTTGTCTTAAAAAATCGTAAGTCGTAAACTGTAGCAGATAGACGGCTGAAATTTAATATTTACGTCAAAATAGCCTTTAATGAGAGAGTGTACCTAAGTGGAGGAGTTTCTAAATTCCCGTTGATTTTTGAAAATTTTTCAAACTTCCTTTTGAAAGTCGCATTTCCAATAGTTTGTGTTTCTCTTTAAAAATTCTTCAGTCTCAAACTGTGGTAAGCACAGGGTTAAAAATGGGTATTTGTGTCAACAAGTGCTTAGTGAGAAAGTCTACAAGAGCGCAGTCATTTTCTATTTTTCGTGTGATTTTTGAATTTTTTTTCAAAAACTCGCGTTTCCAATAGTTCGCCTTTGCCTCAAAAAAATCATAAGTCGTAAACTTGAGCAGATGGATGTTTGAAATTTGGTGTTTGGGTTCACAAGTCCTTAGTGAGAAAGTGTACGCGAGTACAGTAATTTCAAATTTTCCGCTGATTTTTGAAAATACCTCAAACTTAATTCTAAGAGCCGCATTTTCAATAGTGCGCGTTTGCCTAAAAAAATCATAGTCCCAAACTCCCTCATGTAGATATCTGAATCGAAGTATTTGCCTGAAAAAAGCTATTTTTTGAATTTCTCAGTGACAAAAAATAGTAGTAGTATACTTTTTATTCTTCGTTATTCTACGTTTACCTTCCTACATAAAAAAAGCAATTGAAAACTGAAATACCGACTTAAATACGAAAATTAATTGGATTGATTTGGGCATAATCTAATAAATTACTTAATCATGACAACATGTTATCAAGCAATATAGAAGCATATGAGTTGAAAAACACGTTCTATTTACTCATTTTAGTAGATAATCAGGAAAGGTTTGCAGTTTTTTGCCTAAAAAATCCATTATCTTTTTGTATGGTTCTATATGGCACAATTTCCGCATACATATTAAGTCAAGTTATTCCATACTCTTATGGGTTTTCCTCTTGCAAAGTTTACTAAGGAAGACAATTCAAATACATAGTAAACGATCAAGAAAAATCACTAAAAAACGCACATTCCACTATTGTGGGCAGGGCCAGCGATATTATTCACATAAAATTAACATAATTTGCACAAAAACCTCATTAATATCTGTTTTCAATATTACAATGAATAGTGGTTAACATTGGGTTTAAGGAACTCATAAATCCCCAGCCCGTGGTTATTCGCTTGTACCTTTTTAGAGGTCAATTGTGGACAATTAAAAAACTCCTCAAAAACTTGTGAAATGAATTTTATGAAATTCTTGTCATTAAGATAAACTAGTAGGCAGAGATATCTAGGATGAAAGTAAAAGTAACCCAATAAATATTATGTAAGCCACAAACAATAATAACGGACCAATTACCGGACAAATTACAATCTCATGATCGAAATATGTTACTGCATGAACCGGTTTGGTATATTAGTGTAAATAAACAACTATTTAAAAATGTGGGGCTTTTTATCAGGAGAAAATTGCACACATACAGAGTGTTTTCCAGAATTTCTCACTAAATCTAAAAAGTGCAGCTGCAGCCGCAATAATGCCTTTATTAAAAGAAAAAGTCCGATAGTGGTCTTCTATCTGAACCAGTACTAACCTACTTATAACTAGGTACCATGTAAACCTAAGGCAAAAAAATCGAATCGCATTGAAAGTTTTTTAGTAGATCAATGTACCAAATGATTGTGCAGTTTTGTTTCGTTCAACCAGCAGGCGCTTTATGATGTAAAGCTTATGTAAGGAACGATTTGGAATTATTAATTATTAATCCTGCAAATAAACACAAATTTTGTCATCGACTTGGTGGATAATCAATGATCAATTCGTTTGCCCGAACGCAGCCAAGGGTGTGGACAATTTTAGGATTTTCTCTCTAATTACGCCCAGGAAATCTAGATCAAATTTCTGGTGCAATTCAAACCACTGTTACATATATATGGGTTTAATCAATATTTTATCTACATTCTATATTTGGAATAACATGTCGACTGTCAAGGCTAATCACACATATTTTTAGTTAGTTCCTGCAAAACAATTATTTATTGGAATAATACACCTTCATGAATATCTGTTATATTTCACTCAGCCAATTATTAAATAATTGTGAATGTTTTCATTCATTTGCTTTGTTTAATTATTTGCTATTAATTTATCTGACTTTATATTAAATTAACTCGGAAGAAGTTGCCTGCAAATTTATAAATATATGTAAAAAAAATTAAACTCGCGTGCCCGCAGCTCCAAATAAATAACCAATAAAGTAATTAAACCACTGGAATTGCTAAGAAATATTTAAACTTGAGCTGTTCAATTTCATGCGCCCATAAGCACATTAATTTACTTCCGCATTAATGTGATTATGGTCGTTGCCTTTGAAACGTGAAAACGACTCTGTTAGAGTAAATGTTTTAGATTATTTGGAAAAAAACCATGAAAAACGTCTTGCAAGTAAATTTTAAAAAGTCTTTTAGGGGACAACCAATATTTAGAGTCTGCTTTGCTTTTAATATTTTTTTGTCAAAAACGGTTAATTTTAGAGCCTTTCACTAAGAGTGCCTTTTCGTGTAGAAAATTATGTTCTTTGAAAATCTACATCACTTTCCTCAGTAGTGTGAAAGCTAGAGAGAATTTTTAAAGCTGGTTGCATTAAGCCAATTTAGTCGATATCCGTTTTGTTGATTGTTATTCTTCTACTTCTTTCCATCGTCCATTTCTTTTTCTGGCCTTCATTGTAGACAATTTAACTTGAGTTATTTTCTAATTCAATGTTAATTTTGCGGTTCCATCCGCTACTCGCATTTTTCATTCGTTGGCTCTTTTCATTCTTGCGATTTGTGGCTTTGAATCGTCTGAATTTTTACTTGAGAAAATTTGTTAATTCATTGTTAATCTTCCTGTTTCTTGCATTCATTGTAGACATTTTACTTGAGTCATTTTCTTAATTCAATGTTAATTTTGCTAGTTCCGATACTACTCACTTTTTCCAATCGTTTCCTTCCTACGATTTATGCTTTGGATTCTGTGGATTTTTACTTGCGTAATTTTTAAAATTAATTACCAATTTTCTTCTTTATCTTCAGTGCCGCACTTGTTAATTCAATACTCTTATTGTTTTTTCTTTGAATTTGTCTCTATGACTGTGCAAACTTGTCGAAAGTAAATTTTCACTTTTATTGCTAATCTTCCTGAGCGTATTAATTATATATTGATCTTCAATTTAAATCGGGTGGATTGAAGCCGCAGATTTGCGCCCAAATGCTTTCTCCAAAACTCAACCAGATAAACTTGTTAGGTGAAATTGAACTTTTCGATTTGTTCGAATCCCTCCCTGCAAGATTATGGTAATATGACAGTGAAATTTTCACGTATCCGACCAATTAATCTAATTTTTCCTCGCCCAAGGAATGCGAAACGAAATCAATTTCTCGTTAAACTTTGTTTCGACGTTTATTTAGTATTTATGCGTACTGCTTCACTTCCTAATCATTGACATTCACATGCTGGAAGCCGTTTTCTCCAACCGTTTTTTTCCCGCAAAATGTGAAGTCATGCGGAATGATAATATCTTGTTATTATACATGTTAATACGTAAAAAAGGAATAACTTTACTTCCATGGCAAACCTCTAGACCTTCATGCGTTTTCACTGGATTCGTTCTTTCATTCAATTTTCTTCTTCAAATATTTGTACTTTTTTGCGGGGCGCGTCCAGCAAACCCAAACGAGGCAAACATAATTTTCAAGTTAACCATTTTCTTACAATTTGGCTGAACAACAAAAAAAAACAATTAATGCAGCAACGAAATAACAATAACAGAATTTATATAATCATTTGTACCAAAAAGAAAGCCCATCAGACGTGGCAGCTGTTTAGTATTCCTGAACCTGAACTTGAAATTACCTCAACGATTACGGAAAATAATTGAATTCTTGTCTTGAATGAAGCTACCAGCTTGTTGACATTTGCAATTACCGACGATCATTCTTTATTCTTTATAGTGCGTGTGTTCCGTATTTTAATCAGTTTTATTGTCCCAGGTTAGGACTATTGATTCTCCATTGAATGGAAATCGGTTTAGAAAGCCGCAAACTCATAGAAAATTTATTAATTTATTTTTTTCCTAATCGTATATTGCACTTTGTTCTTTTTGCATCGAACTTGCCTCACAACGCAACTGTATGGTCACATAATAACTTACGAAAAATTGAATTTCTAAATGCAGTGAAACTAACGAACGCGAATTATGTTCTATAAGTTTGGTAACGTTTATTGCCTTTATTTACACAAACTTACACTAACTAACTACAATAATGAAGGCATTGTTAAACCGGAATTGGTCCGGCAAATATTGAAAGAAAGCCGAAAAAGCGTGATTTTTAACAAAGCAAATAATGATGATATTCTGTGCGCATTTAGTAAGTATTTTTTTCGATGTGTACTGTTTTTCTCAATTTTCAATTCATTTGCCAGATAATTTTTTCCTAGAACTTTCATGAGAAAGTACCATTTTCCTCAGTGGGGTAGAAGCTAGCGTAATTGCACCTTTAACATTTTGAACTCTTAAAACTGGTCGCTTCAATTGATAATCTTCTGGTTTCTTCCATCTAAATCGCACTTATTACTGTCGCAACTAAACAATTTATCGACGTTTTTTCTGCTATTTCCTCTCTCTTGTGTGGCTATCCGTATGTAAAGCCTTGATATGTAAAAATATGTAACAACTGTATCATTAAATACGATCGACACTCATTGCCGTTCAAGATGCAAGCTCATATTTCAGTGAATGACTTTACAAATCAATCGAAAGATACATTCATTGATTATTCAACTATCGGTTTATTTGTTGCTTCGGATGCCGAGTTATGCAATTTTTTTCACGCATTTAGATATTCCTAGGTATAAGGATTACTTAGAAAGGTCTGATAATGACGATTTTTCCTACGAAGTTGTGATAAATAATTACTAATTTAAGGAAGTAAGTGATGGGCAGTTTATAAAAGGTACGCTCAGGTGGGTTAGCAGGTAAAATCAAGCCAATTAAATTTATTTAAAATTGTCTATTTGCTAAAGCATTTGATTTCGACATTTCTGCCCAAATAAAAAAATGTTTTACGTTCTGTAACCTAAACCTAATAGAAAATCAGCCTGGAATGAAACAAAAAATGAGTTATTTTGATAAACGTACTTTAACTAGCAATAATCTACGAAAAAGTATTATATTATATCAATCAGCTGCAAAGTTTGCAGCACTTGAACATGCAAACATTGAAATTTAATTCAAATAAATGCAATTTATCACATTGTACTCCTTATAAATATATAAATAGTGAAATAATCCTGAATTGTTATTTGCAATTACACCTCCCTATTCCCCAGCCCTTTCGACTACAGCCAAACACCTAAATATAGCTGAAGTCGAGTGCAAAGGGTTAAGTTTCCCACATAACAAAAATATATGTATAGATTGTGTCCTCAGTGAGGAGTTTAGAATCTTCGCCTAATTAAAATAGTTGAATAAAATAGGACGTTGTTCCGTCCTTCCAAGATGGATCATCCACGATTTTTGCCCGACATAACGGGCATGTCGGCTCGCGGTCAAACCACGTGGAAACGCAATTTTCGCAAAAGATATGCCGGCATTCCAGTATAACTGGCGTATGGTAATTGTCGTGGCAAATCGGACATTGATCACCGGCCGTTTGAATCTGGTCTTTACTGGGCATAGCGCCAAGTGTCTGGAAAAATGCATTTTGAGCAATTCAATAATTTTCCTTGAACATCGCACTTACCACGGATTGAAGCAATTTAATTAACGCGGCTTTAAGAAACACGATTTTGAACATCAAGTCGGATCCTTTGGATATCATGTAGAAAGCCGACAGGAAAACAGCGACGATTTTTTCAGCGCCCTGATAGGACTCAAGGAAATAATACAGCCATGGCTGTACAGTGGCGATACTGCGGTATAATTGCGACATGGCTTCGATGAATAAGTAGATTTTTCCCTGCAAGAAAAATGTCGACAAAATGGAGAATGAACCCAGCTTGCAGACAAGTAGAAACTCACCCGCTTTTTAAAATCCACCAATTTTCCTGGCAACATCGTCAAGACAATTTTAACCATCACAGTTATCAGCTTGATGGTGAAATCTGCAAATCAGAAATCTAGCTTTGCATTCATTTAATAAATGGTTTTAATCGTACCTGTTACTGTGACTATCCACAACAGATTTGAGACAGTCAATGGACGACTGAACGTCCTGATCAGTGCAAGACTTAACACCATCGTAAAATTGTTTACATTGTCTTGAAATAAATAATGTACGCAAAACAGGCACACGACGATGTAGCAAAGTTCAAGACTGAGAGTCGATATGCTTCTTCTCGTCCGTTTGATTGCCTCGTGCGGAACCGTGTAATTCGCATGGAGAAACGTAACAAGTAGAATGATAAAAATCACAATTCCTTCATGAAAGTCGTATAAGGTTTTTGCGATGAGTATTAGTCCGAATGGCACATATTTCAGGAGAACCTGCATATAGAAAACTAGTTGGATAAAAGCCACTTAGACATGAGACGTTCCCGATTTGAGTGCCCCTGATGATGGTTTCAATTTACCGTTTAGAGCCTCAAATCAGGAACATAATGTAAGTAGCTTAACAATAATTTACTTGATATGCTTGTTGAACATCCGCAGGATTTTCAATATTTCTACCAGCAGAATTTTGCCCTGAAGCACCATTAGGCGGCTGCCCATTGGGCCTTGGTGCTTCATCTTGATGTTGAGCCGCCTCCTCTTCATTATTATTCAAAGGACTGTGACTTGTAGCAAGATGAGACTCCAGTGGGGAGACACCTATTGGAAAAAGCCCCCATTTTTAGACAAAGTTTCATTAGTAAATAAACCAATCACCTTCCAAGTTAATTGCAATATAATCGGATGTAGCTGAAGAGCTCGCTTCTTGACCATTGCCTGAATCGTTAACACTCCTTTCAGAATTGGAGGGACGAGATAATAGGTCAGATAGCGTCATGCCGTTTTGTCTTACAGATAGAGCATTCTCCACCAAAGGCTCAATTTGGCGAATGGCACTGTTCAAGCTAAATAAGAACAAATCAAGCGTACATACAAACTAGGTAGGATGATAGTTTACCTGTCTCTCAGCTGAAGCGCACCTTCAAAGGTCCTCCTTTGAAAGCTAACTGGCAAAGTCGCTGAAGGCAAAGTGCCACTAGAATGTGCTATTAATAAATTGCGTTGATTTGGCTGATGGATTGCAAAGTCTGCTGATTGGCTTCTTTGGAATGGGGCACTGTTTGGGATGCTGCCGCTCATTCTATAATTCTAGACTAACTGCAAGGTAATGATCAAGTGAACGGTAGACTAATGCTTGAGCCTTACATTACAGGCAATTGCTCACAGCCATTGCCTGTAATAATTAATATTGGTTTATGATTAAAAATTACACCAAGCGCAGTGATAATAAACAATAGAAACTGGTGATGTTGTATCAATGATTGTACAAGTTGGTGATGATGAAACAGTTTAGGCCGACAAAATCCGTAAGTCCTTAAGTAATAAAAAGTGTACCCAAACTGAGGCTGAAAACGATCAATTCATGGCACAGAACTGTTCCGAATGTTAGTTAAAAACCAATATAAAGGCCTGGGTATAAATTATTGCTATTAATTGGAGATTCTTACCATTTACTAGAACATGCTACTATAGTAAATGTTTACTTCTAATCGAAATGATTTCGTCTCAAATGTTGCAAACGATCTTTGAACGTGTTTATACCAGACAACTTAAACAACAAACCATCAATTATACGCATATTATGAAGATTAAATAGATAAGTTTACAGTGTCTTGTGCTAATTAAAATTGTGGAAATTGGTTTACTTCATGTTTACTTCTCTCACACTTCTGTCACGAAACTGAAAACTGACGACTTTTCAATCAATTCTAATGTGAAGTTAGACGTTGAAAATCGTTCAACTATTTTTACCTTACGGGTTTTGCTTATCGATCATTAACTCTAAAAAATAAAAATCAACTTATCCCACTGCTGAAGGAATATCCTCAATGAGTAAGTGAGTTTGAACTGAGAACGCATTAAAATGTAATGGTACCTCAAGCTTGGTTGCCACATTTGGCATTTCCAACTACTAAAAGCGCGAATTTCGAATTGATTTTGCGATATAACATATTTTCTTTCATTTAAATACACACAACAGTTCGTGAGTCGTGAATGCTAAAATTTACAATTTTTGAATGCATTTTTTTTTCATCTAAAAATAATGTTTTTTTATGTATTGTATTGGATGGTTCGTTGAAAACCCATGATTTATTGTGCACGTTGCTAATGAGATGCCGTTAATTAATTCTAACGGTTAATTGATTCGACGAACATGGATATACTTGGCTTTAAAGCTTTTAAGTCCTATTTGCGCATTGTTTACTAAATACAAAAGTAATCATTAAAATGCAATTACTTCCTCAATCTGCGTCTTAATCTTTAAACACTATTGCGTAAAAATGTGCGCTTTTGCCCCAGGAAGCATTCTTATGAATAGCATTAGTTTAAGGCGCACTCTAATTTTTTATCTAGAAGACCTCAGGCGTTGATTTGAGCTCAGCAACGATATAAATACATCAAAAGACTAATAAACCTTAATCGCTTCTATTCAACAGTTATGTCACGTAAATAATAAAATTCACTTAAACATATTACGGCGGTACATTGTTGAATAGGATGTAAGAATAAATGCGAGTTGAACGACAAATAATTCTTGTGTACCCGCCATGAACAGTCCAATAACGAAGAACTTTCACTTTTTATAAACAAATTCATTCTTATTTGAAATTCAAGTGCATTCGATAAGCGGTTGTGTTCAAGAACTCAAAGTGGAAGGTGTGGAATCTTTGCGATGAATTCCCATTGCTTTCAAGTGAGTAGATTTGAATTTTTATGCAGGGATTTTCTGGCTAAGAATTTCCTCTTATTGGGGCAAGCTCGAAGAGAAGATTTTTGGAAAAATGTGCGGAGTTCTAGAGGTTTGCAAGTTTTGTGTTAGCAGAACTGGTCGGAACTTTCTAATGGGCTTAAAATTAATGTTGCAACACGGAATTTCACATCTTTATATGCATTTTCTAGATGACTAAGAGGTCTGTAAAGTAGGTGCAAATGTGAAAAGATGCACTTCTAATCTTTCTTAGTTCTTTATTATGTCCACCCATTTTTACTTTTAAGTCAAATTTAAATTGCTAAAGCCTATAATCTTGAAGTTCTAGTGGTAATTGAAGCATATTTCAGCATAAATACTGCGGTATTTCGATAGAAAATAATTTGATCACAACACACTTTAATGAATATTAAATAAACCGCGGTTTCTTTGAGAAATTGGTGTTCAACCTTGTCCCTATTGTAGCATGATGAGCAACTATTTCGCTAGAAAACACGCTGATTTGTCATAATTTTTTGTCTTTTCGGCCATACAACCACAATGAAATATTTAAATAAATAGCAAAAACTGACTAGAGGTAATTATTTTGAAGGCTGCTGTAAATGGAGATTTATTCAATCTCAACCTTGATCAAAGTTGGTAAAAACAAAAAACCATCATGAGCATTTGCAACGAATACATAATTTAGATCTGCGTAGGTAGAATCAATGTTTGCCTTTATCGAACGTGAAACCTTTCAGTTCTGCAACTCTAAGATTGCTTATTGCTTTTAGAAACTGTCCCATTTTCGTTAAATTAGCTGCGGCTGTTTAGCAACTTAATTCAGAAAGGTAATTCCGCTAAACTTCGAAAAATTTCGTTTTTTTTCAGTTGCAGCTTATTGCGCTATTGGTTCTAGTAGCCCTAGTTTCGCTTGTTCGCAATGAAACAACGGAAAGACCAGCCATATCAGACGAAGCTTTGGAAAAAACCTTAAGCGACAAACGGTATCTTCAAAGGCAGCTGAAATGTGCCGTTGGAGAAGCCCCTTGTGATCCAGTGGGTAGACGCTTAAAAAGTATGTTAATTGATCAGAAAATTTCTTTAGCAGAGCTTTAGTTTGATACGAATACATCGGAAATCGCGCAAGGGCTTCTCCCTTTATCAGGCGTCTGAAGTTTCCAATTATCGAAGAAAGTCGACGAGTTTTTTTGCAAAATCGATCTGTTAATTTGTTTGCATAATGCCATTCAGTTTGCCAGTAATTTACACTAAAACGTTAGGAAAAACGCGGTTTTTCTGTTTAGAAATATTGACCTACAAGTGAAGAAGACCCCAGTTTCAAAGGGTTTTCCAAATAAATAATTATAAACTTTCGCTTTTTCAGTTCGGGGAAATATTTTTGGAAAAACACCCAGAAATAATTATTACAGGACACAACAGAATTATGGACAAAATCCATAATTTGAAACTGCAAAATTTTTGCAAAGCGGTTAAGGAGGCGAGGGTTCCAATAAAATTTATCTTATAATTTTTTCACATAAAATACCCAAGATTATCAGTATTTTAAGTAAAACTAAAAAATAACGCGATTTTTTGCGTTTTTGATTAAAAAGTTTTAATTTTCTGATCGGTTTTGGAGAAAACCTTAAGCGTTTTCAGGGAAGTACAGGAGGAATTTATTTTCGTTTTTGTCCCGAATTCGTTTTTGTCCCAAAGCTATAAAAATGTATACATTTACAAATATTTTTACATTTATTACAAGATAAATATCTTGTAATTTTTTGACTCTATTTTAATACCTCCAGATCGTCAGTATTTTGAAGTGAAACTCTACAAAATAGAGCGTTTTTGAGTAGAAAGTAAAGCAAATAAAAATCACTCGTAACTAAAAAACCACAATTTTTTAAACAAACTTTAACTTTACGTCTTCAGATGTATGGAGGTGATGAGATTAAGTAACTGAAACTTTTAGAAGAAAAAATAAAGACATTTTAAAGATATTATTAATAAATGGCCATTAAAATAAATCTAAAACAGGTAAAAAAAGTCATCAATATTTTTTTAGCAACGGAACTGAGTTACTGCGCCCGGGCGTTGGGTTGGCGCACCAAGCCATTTGCGTAGCGCCTGCTGCGCCAACTCCTAAAAATTCACTGAGTTACCCAGGCGTATTTTCGATAGCCCACATTGAGAAATGTGGTTTACCCATGAGGTTTAGTCAAAAATTCCGAACCCTTCTTTTTTTCTTTTTTTTTCCGGTGAGGTTTGGGAGTTCCGAACCCTTAAAGCGATAGAAGCAAAAATGTCCAAATTTACTTGGGTGTCGAAGTTTAAAACAACCTCGTGAAACGCTTCCGAGAATTATCTCTTCCTGCTCCCACGTTAGACTTTATTATTTAGAAATTGCTAACTTTTAAGAAATAAGCGGAAAAAATTGCAGCTTTTAAACACGCGCGGAAGTTAGTTTTCGAGTCAATTCTTTGTGTGTTCCACTGAGACGCAACCGAAGAATTATTGCAAAAAATACACATTTTGCGTGCAGATAAAGATCGGTTTGTCACACGGATACTTTCTCTGTTCCGGAGAAAGCGCTTGTTCTTAGGAATCGCAAAAATCGCAAGTATTATGCAATATGTGATCTGAAAATTTCATATTGAACGTAATCGGGCAATTAATATTCCACATTGGATTGGATTGTGGTCTGTCTTGTCCTGTCCTGTCTCAACTGTCCATGAAAAGTTGGCAATAAAAAAAGATTAAAGCGATGCAATTTTTTCAACTGAATTTTAAAAGACGTTATTGATTGCACAAACACCATTTTCCGCTTGCTTTTGACCCAAACACGCCGTTTTTTTGTGCCGGTGCTCAGATAGAAACAAGTGTGAATTAATAAACAATAAACAAAAATTATTTTAAATTGAAAAACCTTTTTTTAGGTTTGGCACCTTTGGTGCTGAGAGGCTCGTGCCCACAATGCACAGAACAAGAAAAGAAACAAATCAAGAAAGTGCTGGCGTACGTTCAGGTCAATTTCCCCAAAGAATGGAATAAAATGCTGCAAACCTATGCAGGTTGATTGCGAAATTCCAAACCAAATTTATTTAATATTGATAATTAAGTGAAGAAATTAATGTGCTTCGACTGCTTCCTTTATACAACGCCCTGTATATAATTTGCGCTTGAAAATCACAACTTTTCCATTATTAATTGATGACTATTTATAAACCTGCTGTATTTATTGTAAATAATATTCCATTTTCATCAGATTTTTGTTTGATTTTCCTCAAGTTCCCCAGCGTTGAGGAGCGTGTGATTTATCATTTTTGGCAATGAGTATTGCAAAAATTAAAGGTAAGTTAAGATTACAAACTCCAGATAAGATAAAATCACCTTTCTAATCTGAACAGTGATTTAATATTGTGTTTCTTTATTGAGATTATTGACAACGTTTTGATAAGAATTAGTCTCAAAATGATAAAGTTATCAATTATTCAGAATTGAAAGCTTTTAATCCGCTTTCGATTGTTTTGCGATATTGGTAAAGTTCCCCATTAGCCACTGGTGTTTTGGATCGATTAAAGCCAAAAGAACGATATGTGAAGTGAATTTTTGCTGGAAAAAGTGAGTATGTAAATCAAGGAAACACTCCCCAAAAGTCCAACAAACTGATACTCACAGGAAAAATGACATCGTTCATCGAGAGAGAATTGCGAGATTTCGAAGACCCAGACACAACACCCCACTTGGACCGGAAAAGAACTGTTAGGTCAATTTTCTGCACTCAATTGGCCAAGGGAATTTTCATCGCGTTAATTGTCGCTATCCTAGTGCCCACGTTGACTTACTTCTTCGTTATATCCAGGTATGTTGCAGCGAGAACAAAAAACTTTTTTGCGACTGAGTTCTCTCAGGATTGAATGGATAAGATCAAGAAATGGGTGGTTAATTGCGTACTTTTTGAAGAAACGTGCCCGATAACGACGAGGATGCGGAGCAATACTACTGCCTCATCCTGGAAGAGTTCCGAATCCCATGCGGGAACTTGAACATTTCGCAAAACGAGTGCGAAATTGCCAACTGCTGCTTTAACGAAACCACTAGAAAATGCCACCACTATCTACCATCCAAGTAAAACAAATTTAGCCCCAAAGTTCCACATTTCCGCCCTTAATGCCCAAACATTCCAGATATTACTACCGCTTAAAGAGCGATGGAACTTACAGAGCCTCCCAAAGCTCATCCCCAGTAGGCTCAGTGATGGTTCAAAATCTCCAGCTAACCATTCAGAATAAAAGTGCCACAACACTGTCTCTGACCATTCACGAGTCTTCAGAAACCATCGAGCCCATTAACGTGGAAAGCACCAATTTCACCATAACTCAATCCGATACGAAAATGGTCCTTGAAGTCGCCGATCCGGATGGAGATACGATTTTCAGCACCTCAAAGGGAGCGTTAATCGCTTCGGAAAACTACTGGGAATGGTCGTTTCAGTTTTCCAACGGCACATTATTTGGGCTCGATCGCAATTCGATCGAGCTGGAGCCCAGTGAAGCCTTGACCAAAGTGATTTATAAAAACCGACTGGACCATTTGACTCAACCCATTCTATGGGCGCACCAAAATGGAAAGTTTCACGGTAAACTGGTCAGAGTTTCACGAAAGTTGGACTCAATTGGGATTCCATAGGGGCGCTTTTCCGCAACGAGGGCCCTTTGGAGATTCAGATCCTCTCCTCCAACATGGTGATTCTGCGAAGCTTATTGGGGGGAAAGTTGGAAGTGGAGTTGTTTCTGGGGCCGACTCCTGCTGATTTGTATCGCAGCCAAACCGAGGAAGTTACAGTGCCGCCTTTGTGGTTTTTAGGCACGCATCACTGCAGGTACCTACCTCTTACCCACATAGCAAAATGATATCCCAGAATATACCTGGAACACTCATGTGATGTACATGCATATTCCTGGGACATACATGAGTTACATTATGAACATTCCATGCGTGTC